CGGCGCTGCCCGTCCCCCCGGGGCAGCAGCACGGAGCGGTCTCCGGGCTCGCCCAGCCAGAGGCAGACACGCGGAGGGCAAGTTTCTTGGCTCCGAGTCTCACTAAGTATCGTCTTGAGAGACCATAGCAAACCGGACCTTTTACCGGCTGGTGAAAAGACCTGCCTGCTCTGCCCAGAAGAAGTTGCCGATGAGGATGACAACAATTAACATCCTCTTTATTTAAATTGAATTTACTCTGTTAATCATCATCTGCAAGAATTCTTCTCATCCATCTTTGTTACCTCGCACATCCAAGTCATCTAACTCACACACTTTTTGGCCACTGGCATCACATGAGCCTGACAGGACACTGCAGTTTCCAGGATTAGAGAGTTTAGGGTCCTTTTTTGGTGTAGAGCATGTGTGAAGAAACATCACGAAACACAGCCTTTGATGTATTTAAATATTTATTTTGTAGAAATCACTTTATTTATGAGAAAGTAGTTTGATGAAAAAGTTGCTTCCTGATAGATTCACACAGCCACTGTATTGTCAACACCTTGGAAGGAGACTGAAGTCACTGAACAGTTCTCTATTGGCTTGCAGCAGAACATGGTCCTTTTTCAGCTCCATAAACACCCTCTCAGCTTCGAGGGCACTGCCACTTTGGCACACCTAGTCTGGGGTGATCAGCGAAATGCAAAACTTCTGCTTAGCTTTGCTGCCATCACTAGGAAGTATTGTAATTTTTTAACGGTAGTTTGGCACACAATTGCTGCCCAGGCCATGCTGTCTGTGGTACCTTACAAGAGGCTGCTACCAGTGGAAGGGGGAGAAAAGCTCCAACAGAAGAGTTCAGAATCAGTGGTTGAAGAGAAATTCTTCTCAAGAGTTCAGGAAGTCTCACAGATTTCTGCTACAGGAGATCAAAACCAAGAACCTAACAAGTGTTTAAAAACACATTATATAGATACCAGAAATCTCCAGAGCTATTAATGACAAATTATTAAAACCACAGAATGCCTCAGTTCTAGTCAGCAGAAGATTGACTAAAGAGGTAGAACGCACTGTTCCACAAGTCCTCCTCTGTTCTCTGTGGCAGGCACACCTGTAACACTGACAGCCCATTATGGAACAGCCAGTGTGCCAGCTGGACTTTGAGCCAAATTCCCTGCAGCATTTTCATTCCCATAACTCATGGTCACCTCATGGTACACATGATGGAAAGGAGGAAAAAAGAATGAGCTGCAGGACTGCAGCAAGTAGCAGTCAGCTTATTTGCTCCTTAGGAGGAGCAACTGAAATCATGCAGAGAGGACAATGTACATGGGTAAATGATGAAAGGTTCGTGTATTTCAGGAGCTGACACCTCTGCTAAGTGACATACTTGAATACACTGCAGGCATTTACCAGGAACCAAGTAACCAGCTGAAGCCCACAGTACAGCTCAGCACAGCTGAAACTTTTGCTAGGTCTGTATACTAGACAGTAATCATAGTTCCAGATCATACAATGTCATTCTATTATTCTCCCCTTAATTTCGCCTCAGACTCAAGCACTCAACCAGCAAGTATTTTCTGAAGGGTTTGTGCAAGTAAACAGTGGTTTTGCAAAGTCATTTTTTATGTTCTTCAGGTCAGGCAGGGACTGCACATGGCCAAAGCCTGGGCTAACAGGAAAGTGAATGTATGGAACTCTGTTTCTTTCACTGTCAAAACTAAGTGTCCTTTATTTGAAAGGCAGTGGCAGACAACACCACTGCAGCACTGACCTGCCTCTGTGGGAGTGTGCAGCCTCCTTTGAATCAACTATCTATCAAAACATTAAGAAGCAGAGTAAAAATAAACACTGATCTTGACCTTATGGTAACCAAAAGATTATCTGAAGAAGCTGGAGTGCAGTAACCACAGTCATAGGATTAAAGGTCCTCAAATGATACCACGGAAAACTATGTAGCATTCCTCCTCCCTCAGACAGCTTCACTAACTGGGTGGTTTAGCCACCACGAGCTGCTCCAGCTCATGCAACACACTGCGGGCAAAGCAGGAGAAACGATCACCACCTTGTACAGCAAACATTTCTGCAGTATCAAATACCAAGGGAATAGTCTTGGACCTGGCAGACCACCATCACCATCACCAACCACGGCAGTTCAGCTGGCAAGAGAGCCAGGTCTGACAGAAACCTCCACGGGAGGTACACATGGACTACAGGGGGAATGTGCACTGTAAGCAACTCTTACCCAGTCCCGAGTAAGCTTACCCTTCCACAGGGTTTTCCCATGACAAAGGCCTTCAGCCTTGTTTAGCCTAGTGACTCCAGGATTTCTGTGTTTACAAACAGATCCTACTCTGGCCCACAGGTGGAGTTTTAATCTGGCAGGCCACAGACACTCTTAAATAACTCTGTTCCCAAGAAAGATGAGTGAATACTTCCCCTCTCTTGTCACCATGGGGACTACAGTCTGCTCTAGCACTCCAGCTTCAAGACAACGGCTTCTAGAAGTCCCTAAGGGCAGTAGGAATGCTCTCACTCCCAGGACTGCATTTGCTTCAGATGTGCCCAAGCACAGGTTCACATGATGTCAGTGTAAAGTGACTCATACACACAGGACTGCAGTCATCATACAAAGAGCCACTGGACAAAAGAACACAGATTTCTCTTGTAGTGTCCCAGGCTGCAGCTGAACAAGCCACACCTTACTGCTTTTCTAAACAGAGTCTGTCTACCTCCTTTGTAGATACCACGGGTTGTCTCCCAGAAGAAGAAAAAAAACCACCAAAAAAGTCCACCACATCTCCTGCCTTATGCAAACTAGGTAAGATACAAGTGTAAACAGCTGGTCAAGAATTAGGACATCTTCTTAGCAGGGCACCAAATAGTGTCAGGATAAAGCAGACAATGGACAGATTTAAACCTATGAAAAATAAAAGAAGACAAAATTAGATTTGAATTCTCCACACAAGGAACATACTAGCTGTGAAAGTGCAGCAGTCTGATGGAGCAGAGAGGGTGGGTCTCCCTGCTTTCAGCAGAACTGACACAAGCAAATACCTCATTAGTGGGTTTGATCATCTGGCATCACAGACACAAACAAGGTAGGGATATCTTGTCTTGGAATTGGACACTTACCGGGTTGGATCTTGCTGAAGGCCAAACACTCCTCCCACACTCACAACATTGTGTTTGTTCTCAGGGTCCCCATAACTCAGGGTTACCTGTGAAAACAAATAAGCACTCAGAAATGGTAACACTAATGCAGAAAACCAGAGTGCATATAGCAGGGTAATTAACCAACCAGGTATCAATAAAGATTCCAAGGATGTTGTCTAATCCTAACATGGATCACATCTGGAGGACTGTGGTTATGTTGTGACATAAGCAATGTTAGTTGTGACATAAGCAATGTGTGACAGAGCAATGTTGTGACATAAGCAATGTCACCAAATGGCACTAAAGGCAATGTGGAAGAATACACAGAGGAGCTGAAAGCTGCAATGCCCTGAAGGACAAGGCCCTGAGCTCCAATTTTAAGCTTTGTAAGGACATTCACTTTGCTACTGTCTATACCTTCACTAAATAACACAAGCTCATCCTCATCAGACATTGCCTGAAGTCTGCAATAGCAATGTCTTAGCAGAGAGGGAAAAGAGAAACATCTGCATGTTAAATGGCATGCAAAGAACTATCATGTGACAAACCTGGAGCAAAATGTAGATCTCTGGAAGCCAAATTCAGTGTTATCCTTCCACACAAGGACTGCATTAAGAAATTTTCAGGTGCCAGGTAAAAAAAGACCAGTGTTTTCTTTCAAATTGTACATTTCCTGGATTTTGGGTTAGCTGTTACCATCTCAGGGACACAGTGACCACCAGTATTCAGCCTTCAGCTAAATTCACTGACATGATGGAGATTACATCACGCTGGAATTTGGCCCCAAGTGCACATTTCTGCTGCCTAATACAATTGCCAGGAAAATATAACCAAGCAGCTTGCAGGGCAGAACTGCACTCCCGTTTTCTCATGGTGCCAAGCAGCGTTAGGCAGACAAAGCTGCTGGACAGCCTTGTGGCTCCATCTGCTGCCCAGGAGGAAAAACCTAACCCAGCAATTAAAAAGCTACTTGATTTTTCCTAAGAAACATCAAGTTTCTTGAGATTAAGACAAATTATTCTTAAAACTGATCAAATATTTAACTATGCCTTAGCTATTGAGGAAGTACTTGCTATAGCTGCCTTTTTGAAGAGCATGAATTAAGACTGAGACTTTGTTAGGCAAAACCAGGAAAACTCTTTAGCAAACCATTTCCTCTTTCTACACTTGCTGCTACTGCCACTCAGAAAGTCAGTGTTTATAAGGAGAGAGGGTAGTACCCTATTGAGGCTTCACATAGCAGAACATGTCCCCAAAGAAGGGGACAGCTATATGACCCAGCTGGCAAGGATGAAAGTGTGCTTTTTACCTACATGAAGGAATTGGGCAGAACACAGCTCTGGGTGAACCTGCAGGCATCCTTCTTCACTGAGGAGTGCTAAGTCTATGCAGAGTGTTCTTTCTGATCAGCCTGGGGTGTAGTTATAAGAAGAGCACATGGGGTGCAGCCCTACCTGCTGCAGCACAGACTCGCCTTGTAGTCTCTGCAGGTTTTCCAGGTGGGAATGAAACAAGGGGCTGTGCAGCAGCTTTACCTCCAGCAGCCCTTCAATGATGTAGCCAATAGTGCAGTCGTCAGGAAGACGCACTCTTTCTGCAGTACTGATGAAATTGCCCAGGCTGTGAGACAGAGCACAGGAGACCAGGTGATGTGTGCTTTAAAGTCTCTCAAACACATATCAGTGGAGCTCTGCTAGGAACAGTGCCTACCTGGCCCAGGGACTCATCTTCAGGGCAAGACCTCTGCTGATACAGAACCCTGCTCCACCTGTGGCAAACCAGAATTTCACCGTTGTCTTCTGAAGAGCAACAAGAAAAACACACAGTAGTTACTGAAAATCAGCTTTTTCCATTTGGCTGGGCAGGGAAGGGAGCTTGAGGGTCTATTGGGTATCACACACTGCACTTAAGTCAGAACAAGGCTACAGACGAATCCCTATTTCTTCAAGCTGCTGAAAGACCAGCTAGCTGCTCTCTCAAATCAAACTCTATCCTGGAACTGACAGCAGATGAACCATCAAGTTAGCATAAGTGATGTAGCACACATGAAATAGAAAACTATAGTCCCACTCCTACCCAATTCCATCTGTTCCCTGGTCATTCTAGCCAAGGGTCATAGCCAGCTCAGCATTCCTGAGGATAACAAAGGTGGTCCATGCCCAAGGACACTGTTTCGCTGTGCAGTCTTCCCTAACAAGCTGCTTTATAACTGACTTTCTGGCTAGTGGATTATTTATCTTCAGACGTGTTAGTACAGAAGACCTGGTGAGGACTTGTCCTTCAGCATGTGTATCTTGTGACTGAGATTTGCATTTTTTGGGAATCTAGTAACCACTTAGTGTTGGAAACGCTTTATCCAGAGAGCCTTTGTCACCCCTCTGAGGTTGGTTCAAGACGATGACAACATGCACTCAAAACAAATAAAAACCCCCTGAACTCCAACTCAAACTACCAAGCTCTAAAACAAAGGACACTGCTCCCAAAACCACTGAAGGAAGAGTCAAGGAGGGGAAGTCTTACCAGCCTCAGTGTGAAGGAGATCACAACACACTTGAGTAAAGGAACAGACACAGACACCCACCCAGGAGACAAACTCCATTGCACACATACAGACAAGGTCAGAGTGAAGGTTCATTTAACCCAGCACCCTGACTCTGAAAAGGACCAGTGCCAGGTTCATTTCTTGCAGATTAAGTCACTTAGTTTTATGGGGGAATCCTATCAACTGTCGAGGTTTTGAAGGCTTAGAAGGTCAGGACGTCTCTCAGACAAGCTGCAAAGTTTGCTTACTGATCCATCACTCTGGACATGGTCAGCTGCTTCGATGGGATGGTCCAGGCTTGGTCGCCCCACGTAGACATCCTGGCTGTGTGAGAAGGCAGACAGGAGGTGCAGGAGAGTCCGAGGGTTCACGTAGTTGTCATCATCCACATGGCAAAACCATCTTGAAACAAAGCAAAATAAGAAGTTATAGTGACAAAGACATGAGTTATAGGTTTACAACTGAGTCTTAGTCTTCCAGGCTGGAAGCAGAAAGTATTTTCTATTGTCCCTAATTACAGAACTGGAAAGCTGAAAGCACCCACAGATGTTAATTCTGTCAAGAGGCTCAAATTAATAATTCCCTTTGGATTATAATCCTTTCCACCTTTCAGATGATGCTTGTTTATAAACACTGCTTCATGCTGTGCTCCCTGCCCTGCACTCATCCCCACATCTTAGCTAATACTGCATTTCTTACTGGAGCAGAGATGGTTACTCAAGTTTCCCGTGAACACAGAACTGGAAGAAACAGAGTCAATCAGAACAACATGTTTCACCTACTTTTGCCCAGATTCCAGGAATTTATCATATTCCACAGACATCTTGCAGCAGAGAGCTTGCCGGGTATGGACAGCGGAGCAGTTGGTGTTGATCATATGATCCCCTAGAAAAACAACCATCAGCCCTTTCAGGTTTGAGAAGCATGTGTAGTCCAAAAAAGACTACAAAAGAAGTGCACATTTGGCACTAATGCTGTACATCTGAGGTGCATGTGGTGCACACATGGAGAGCAGACTGCAGGACAGGCAGGGCTCACGGGGTATGCATCTGGCAATGCAAGCTGCAGAGGTCATAAAACTGTGTGAGTGCATAAAAATGAGGAAGGGTATATAAATAGTGCCTTGAGACTGGGTGCAAAGGAGTACTTAATACAACTTTGGACCACATAGACTCAAGCTTACTAACAAGGAAGTGGGTGCAAAGCTGAACCCAGTACTCAGGAAGTTCCAGGCATCTTGTCCAGGTGGCAAGTAGGGAGAAGTTTTCTCTATTTTCTCCATCTTAACTTCCCTAATTGCTTGTACAGCATGAAATAAGGACTTCTAGGGAAACCATGAAAGAAACAAAACTCAGTGACAACAGGCAGAGTGCACCTATACTACCCAGCTCACCTGCTTTCAGGCGCAGCTCCCGATCCTCCCAGTCCGTGAAAATAAACGTCTGTGGGAGACAAAAGCAGTGTGTCCACATTTGAGAACTTCAGGATCTAATTTCAGACTTGCTTGGTTGCAGTCAGAATTCAGAATATTTTGTCTGCCTTGATAGTTTGTTTCACAGTAACCACTGGGGCTGAGCAGTGGTGGAGGGAACACCAGCAACTCCCGTCCCTGACTTATCTGTTAGGCTTTCTCACTGCAAACCAGAAATGTGTCATTTCAGTAAAGCATCCTACGCTTGACTCTCCTCATCCCAGGGTACACACAACCCATTTCCAGGCAGAAGTTACTCTGGTCTTTCCTGGCAGTGTCTCCTCTCTGGCTAGGAGTCATCCCTGGCTGCTAGAAGGAAGGAATGCAAGCTAGGGTGGGAAGTGGTAGGTGGTAACACTGCCTTGCCCCAACTGCTGAACAAAACTGCATTAGCATGCTTGAAGGGACTGAAATTCCAAAACAAGGGAACAAATACTATGCTGTTCCATAGGAAAACTTCAGTGGTTGAACTGACTAGCCCAAAACATTGGCTTAGATGCATCAGCACCAGGAACCTTTCACTATCATGCAGCAGTTTTCATAGTCATAGAAAAGAACCAGCAAACTACGTGTGCCTGGACCACCCACTCCAGATTGCAGGTAAATAGCTTAATCATCAGCAAACTCTTTTGGAGGCACGTTCAGGGGAAACACTTAGGTCAGACGACTTTCCTCAGTGCTGCACGTTAAGATGCTTCTACCACCCGGCAGAAAAACCTCAGCGAGAAGCTGCAGCAGCTGCCCAGGAAAGCGAAGGGCTGAGACTCGCGGCGAAGCCTCACCTGTCCCCTCGCCTGGGAGATCCAGGTTTGCAGCAGCAAGTCCAGACGGCTCTTGTGGTACTTCCTCGTGGTCTTCACCGCGATGAAGATGTCCTTCAGCTCCAGGCTCTCCCTGCCCGAGCCCCCGGCAGCCCCGAGGCGTCC